AAAAAAAATGTTTCTGCAGAATTGCTCATTAGAGTAGATATGTGATGCTTGCCATAGCTCTTTATCAATAACAATGTAAAACCTTTGCTATTTTCTTGTTCCACCAACTAATACATAACTAAGAAGTCTTGATAATTCCCTGGAGATGGGTCATCAACTTTTGGTGCTATACAATTGATCTTATTTGAGGTACTCGTGACAGAAAGATTGAAAGTTTGAAATTTGCCTCATGGATGACAAAGAACTAAGCCTACAAGCAATCTATCAATCACCATGGACAGAATATTTCTCCGTGTTCTGTTTAATTTGTTAATACAATGGACATGCCTCAGTGCAGTACGAACTCCTTTAAAGCTTGTTTGGCGCAGAATATTTTAAGTGAAATGATTTTTTTTGGAAAATGTGTGGTTGAAAAGTGGAGAAAGTTATCACATAGAATGTGTGGTTGAATTGTTGAAAAGAAGGTACAATTAAGAGCTGCCATCTTTTTGCATGTAATGAATTTGCAGCTTTTGTTTTATTACCATTTTATACAATTCAGGTCACCATCCAGCCAGAAGACTCCAAAATTTGTTCCTGCTGTTTTTTTGCCTATTTTAATCACCTGCAACACAAACCACGTGAATGTTCTGTAGAGATCAATTACCAGGATTTCCTCAATTTATTACAGTTACTATGAAATCTTACTGTGTAGTTTCAGCTAAAAAAAATGTTTCTGCAGAATTGCGCGTTAGAGTAGGCATGCGATGCTGCTTGCCATATCTCTTTTAAGTATCTATAACAGAGTAAAACCTTTGCTAATTTATTGTTTCACCAACTAACTAAGAAGTTTTGATAATTCCCTGGAGATGGGTCATCAACTTTTGGTGCTTCACAATTGATCTTCTTGAGGTACTCCTGAAGGATCGAAAGCTTGAAATTTGCCTCATGGATGACAAAGAACTAAGCCTACTAGCAATCTATCAACCACCATGGACAGAATATTTCTACCTGTTTTGTTTAACTTGTTTATACAATGGACATGCCTTCTTAGTGCAGTTCGAACTCCTTTAAAGCTTGTTTGGTGCAGATTTTTTGAGTGAGAAATGAGTTTTTTTGGAGAATGTGTGGTTGAAAAGTGGGGAAAGTTGTCTCATAGAATGTGTTGTTGAAATGTTGATTCTGGAGAAAAATAATTTTTCAGAAAAATCTGTGCCAGACATGCCTTTAAGGATTACCAATCTTTTAAGCTGAAAATATTGATTGTTGCTTATCTTCTAGCGAAATATTACCATCTAAAATTTGAGTTGTGCATGAATCCCATTGTGATTGCCAAACTACCTGTGAACTGTGTTTTTATTGATAACTTTTTAAAATGTGCTTTAATCCAGTGTGCTGTCCTCAAGATGATGTTGAAGATTGTGTTGCAAAGTTTGTTAATTAGATGTCCAAGTTTCTTAATTTTTCTATAATATGATTTCTAGAGTTACCATCAATTGAAATAGCGCAGGCATATGTTTTACATGTCAATGCTGGGAAACTTTGGGGGACTTCTGATTCACTGATTGTTTGTTCCCTTTTTTTAAGAGACTGAACTTTTCATTGTTCAAGCTGCCATTTAGTCCCCCTTTTTTGTGCTGTCTACATGTATGATTTTTATAATGATTTTCCCCGTTCAATGTGATTGAATTATTTTGTGTATCTCTGCTTTGACAGGTTTTACTAGCTACTGGGGGTGGCTATTTAGTTTATTTAGAAATTGGTGATGGAGCGCTGACAGAAGTAAAACATGCCCAGTTGGAGTATGACATCTCATGCCTAGACATAAATTCAATTGGTAATAATCCAAAATACAGTCAACTTGCAGCAGTTGGAATGTGGACAGATATTAGTGTCAGGATATTTTCTCTCCCTGACTTGAATCTGATCACGAAGGAACATTTGGGAGGGGAGATAATTCCTCGTTCTGTACTTCTGTGTTCCTTTGAAGGGGTATGTTTTGTTAATGATCTTCTTGGTCTTGTAATGATGTATACCTTGTTATGATTTCTATTTGTATAGGTTAATTTTATTCGGAAGTTTAGGCTCTCTGGAATTAATTCACACTTTCTGAAACCAGTAAATTAGCTCTTTTGGCTTTTTCTTTTTTGGTGTTTTAGTCTCCCACACTTTCTGAAACCAGTGAATTAACTCTTTTGGCTTTTTCTTTTTTTGGTGTTTTAGTCTCTCCTCTTTCTGAAAGTACCCAACTTTAAACTCATTTGTTTACACTTTGATAACTTGCCTAAATGGATTTTGGACCTTGCTACAAGTACGGTTTACATTAGGGATTACACAATGCCCCCATGGCACTCTCATTTGCCAGACTAAAACACAATAAACTTTTTTATCCAATCTTTTCCCTCCACATCACTTTCGGTAACCGCTTAAGTAGCATTTTTATATACAAACAGCAAAATCCATGGATTTTTAACAGTTCTTGAAATGTTTTGTGCTTGTCTGCGGAAAATACCATCAAACTGAACTTGAGATCATTACGATAGCAAGTTATAATAAATTTCCTCTGCAGAATTATTTAGCCCCTTTTATCATCCTAAAGTTCTCTGTCAATCTCCCAGCTCTCGAGTCCTGAGTGCTTTGTTTAATCATAGAAATATGATAACTCAATGTTGCCCTCCACGAAAAATGAGGTTAAGTTGACCTAATAGTTTTCAATCGAGTGTCAGTTACATAAGCTATAAGGTAGTACTTATTATGATGGACAATATATTTGCATGGGCTGTGTTAGTTCCTTTGAAATCATGATAATAGTGAACTAGAATGTGTTGCTCTGCAGTGTTTGAGTTTAGAAGTAGACGGCAAGCTAAAATAACTGTGTTTGCTAGCGCCAAGTTTCTTGCACCATTTAATAACATGCACTCTTGCCTTTTAATTTCAGATATCTTATTTGCTATGTGCTCTTGGAGATGGTCATCTTCTAAACTTTGTGTTGAATGTGATTACTGGCGAGCTAACGGATAGGAAAAAAGTCTCCCTTGGTACCCAGCCTATAACACTTCGTACTTTCTCATCTAAGAATGCCACACATGTTTTTGCTGCATCCGATAGACCAACTGTCATCTACAGTAGCAACAAAAAGTTACTTTACAGCAATGTAAATCTAAAAGAAGTTAGTCACATGTGCCCGTTCAACTCAGCTGCTTTTCCAGATAGGTAATTCTGTCATGGTTCTGTAACTTATCTAGGCGATTCTGTATTCATGTCTTGAAATCAATTCCTGAATATGTATGGACTTCGTATATGCACATTAAAGATAGGCTGCCATAGTCCTCATTGCGGGTTTTCATTTTTTGGGGGCTGTAAAAGAAACTTTTCTGGTTTTCATATTTTGCGAATGAAAGTCTCTCTAGTAAATTTGACCCTCCTTTCAGGAAGGGGAAAAAACTTTGCTTGCTAAATTCATAGGATGAAAAATGTTGCCCGGGTTAGCATCAAATATTATTTTAATGAACACCCTGCTTAAGCGACATGTAATTAGAAGAACATCCTATTAAGGACTTGGGGTTTTCTTGTCATCGATGGGTGAATTATTATCTGCTCGTCTAGATGAATCGATTTTGCAATGTCTAAGTTTGTTACAAGATATGAACCGTTTGAATTCCAAATGATCTTTAGTTTGGTGATTCTCAAGGTTTTAGCCCTTTCTAAGATCATTTTGCAATGATGTGTTCCAATGTTAGACATGGTTGTATGCAATATTTTGAACCTGGATATATCCCCAATTGCTGTGGCCTGTATCCATTCAGCCATGAGCTTCTGATCTGTATGAAACTATGGAAACCTTGTATGAAACTGTCAAAATAAAGTCGAACTTTTCACACACTCTGGAGTGATATGTTTTTAAGAGCCCCTTGGTGTTCCTGTTGTAACTATTTGCTTGCCTTTCAATAGTGGATTCTTGGTTTTTAATAGGATTCAAACCCAACCCAGATGAGGTTCTGAGAAATATCCATATGAAACCCTTTGTCACTGATTAAAGAACTCTGTTATGAACCATTTATTCAATTCTACGTCCATTTTTTCTCTCTTTTGGTTGGTCCTGGCTAAAAAATGTTATTAACCCATTCACTCTCCGTGGAGTGCGTATTTTTGCCATCTATTATAGTTGAAAGCTTTAACAAGAATTTCTCCTTTATCAACAGCCTTGCGATTGCAAAAGAAGGTGAGTTGACTATTGGCACCATTGATGACATTCAGAAGCTTCATATTCGCTCTATCCCACTTGGGGAGCAGGCACGCCGTATATGCCATCAGGAGCAGACTCGGACTTTCGCAATCTGTAGTTTAAAGTATAATCAATCAAGCATAGAAGATTATGAAATGCACTTTATCCGCCTGTTAGATGACCAAACTTTTGAGTTCATATCCACTTACCCACTTGACCAATTTGAGTGGGGTTGCTCCATTCTTAGCTGCTCCTTCTCTGATGACAGTAACGTGTACTATTGTGTAGGGACTGCATACGTAATGCCTGAGGAGAATGAACCCACCAAGGTGAGCTATATTACATGTTTCCCAGCTGTAATTAAGGATTGTCAACATTTTTTATAAATCATTTTGATGTGAAGTTCCTCTATTTCTGTTATATTTTTTGCTTTGGCAATTGTAGACTTCTGTTTATGTTGAAACAATTGCAGGGCAGAATACTGGTTTTTACAGTAGAAGATAGAAAACTTCAACTAATTGCAGAGAAAGAAACTAAGGGAGCTGTTTACTCTCTCAATGCCTTCAATGGGAAACTGCTTGCTGCTATTAATCAGGAGATTCAATTGTATAAATGGATGCTTCGTGAGGATGGCTCTCGTGAATTGCAATCGGAATGTGGACATCATGGACATATTCTTGCACTTTATGTGCAAACTAGAGGAGATTTTATTATTGTGGGTGATCTGATGAAATCAATTTCTCTGTTAATTTACAAGGTAAACATGTCAAATCTCCAGATGCGTGCATCTTGATTAGCTTTTGATGCATTTATGCTATTCTTTAACCCTTTAAGTACATGTTTGGTATACAGTATTAGACAAAATTGATAGTATGATCAACAAGATTTCAACTTCTTTTTTTCCTTGGTATTTTAGTATAATCAAGTCCTACATATCAAACACGTGATATTGTTTGGCCACCTTTGTTCACTCCAACTGTTTGTGGACAATTATTCAATTTATTACTCTAATTTTCTCGTATTCTTGGTTTGCTGTTGCCTGCAGCACGAGGAGGGTGCCATTGAGGAGCGAGCTCGTGATTACAACGCAAATTGGATGACGGCCATCGAGATTCTAGATGATGACATTTATCTCGGTGCTGAAAATGGTTTCAATCTCTTTACTGTTCGGAAAAATAGTGAAGGTGCCACTGACGAGGAACGTGGACGTCTCGAGGTGGTTGGAGAATACCACCTCGGCGAATTTGTTAATCGATTCCGACATGGTTCTCTTGTAATGCGATTACCAGATTCTGATGTTGGCCAGATCCCAACCGTCATTTTTGGCACTGTCAACGGTGTTATCGGGGTTATTGCTTCTCTTCCTTATGAGCAGTATGCTTTCATGGAGAAACTGCAAACGAATCTAAGAAGAGTGATAAAGGGCGTGGGAGGACTAGGCCATGAGCAGTGGAGGTCNTATGCTTTCATGGAGAAACTGCAAACGAATCTAAGAAGAGTGATAAAGGGCGTGGGAGGACTAGGCCATGAGCAGTGGAGGTCTTTCTACAGCGAGAAGAAAACTTCTGATGCTAAGAACTTTTTGGACGGCGATTTGATTGAGTCATTCCTGGATCTTGGCCGGAATCGGATGGAGGAGATTTCTAAGGCAATGTGTGTTTCAGTGGAGGAATTAATGAAGAGAGTAGAAGAGCTGACTAGGTTACATTAACTCTGCTTCATGAGCCTTCTAGTTGCCCCGTCCTGGGATTTTCTGTTTGCATGGCAGGCTGAACGCGTTTCTTTTGTATCTAATATCTATAGCATGTTTTCTAAAAACATTTTCTTTTCGTTTTCCCTTTCCGAGGATGTTTGTTATATTACCGTCTATAAGACAAATATCTTAAATTTTTGTAAACAATTTATGCTCCGTTAAGTTTTGCTTGTGTTTACCAGAAATTGAATTATTTGTTTATTTTTTTTCACATTTCAGTTGAAAATGGATTTTCCCTTTTTTTTATCTTTATTAAATTATATGTGGTCATGGATAACTCACATTTATCGATTAATTAGATGGTGTCTATGATAGGGACTGTTTCTGCCACAACATTATAAGTTAATGATTTCAATGTCTATAATTGAAAAGTTGAGGGTTCATTTGCACAAAGTACATAAGTTGCAGACTTTCAAGGAAAATTTCCCTTCAATGGTTCCGTAAGTGGGTACAAAATGGCAATCACGATAATTGGAAAATAAAGTATGTCATCGTATCATGTCTAGTACGACTTTTCTAAAAGTTTACTTTTCGTGTAATTTATTTATTTATTTTATTTATTTATTTAAAAGTAAGGTGAAAGACTCAATTGGTTACTGAACTTATATGCAGATTTTAATTTGATCACTCAACTTCAATTTGTTCCAAATTAGTCGTTGTACTTTAATTTTTGTTTCATGTTGATCATTAAAAATTTAATTAACTCCTACCAGTCACTGAACTTTATTCGTTTCATATTGATAATTAAACTTTAATTTCTTCTTATTCAGTTATTGAAGTTTTGATTATTGGATTCGTCTCCATTTTTCAAAATTAATGATAAATTTGATGTGGTTGATGACTTCTTAGCTTGATGCTACATATATGATTTCTGAGTTGCAATAAGACTAATACAGTGGTCAATATGAAATAAATTTTATCCTTGGCTTGACAAATGGGAAATAAATTAAAGTTTGGTGACCAATGTGAAACATATATTAAAGTTAGATGATTAATTTAGAACAAATTGAAAGTTTAGTGACTAAATTGAAATCCTTCTTTAAGTTCAATGATTAATCGAACTTATTGAGCTTTACTTATTTTATTTTTTCCCGGCAGGTTATTTTCCTATACTTTAATGTTAAGTGCACAATTGATTAAATATAATACTTATTTTAAAAATAACACTTATCTTATTATCTTAATAAATATTTCGTTATCGGTAAACGGACAATGTCATCTATCTAATTTATCTTAATAAAAATAACACTTATCTTATTATCTTAATAAATATTTCGTTATCGGTAAACGAACAATGTCATCTATCTAATTCATTTTGAAAATGAAAGTTATTTAAATATAAAATTTAACTTATTACGTAAATATAAATTTAACTTATTTTTAAAACTTAGCCAAATATTTTCATAATAAGTAATTATTGTACTTGTATATGAGGAAGAGAGTCATATTATGTAAATACATTTAAAATAAAAGTTTTTGTTTTATTCTGACAGAATATTTACTTAAAAAAATAAATTTAACTCATTTATAAGAGTTAATTCATTCAATAATCACCCAACTTAAATCATTGTCACGGTTTACTCACTAAACTTCAAGATATTTCACAGTGCTTACGGAACTTTATTCATTTGCACTTCGTCCATCACCCTAACAATCCATTACGTTATTTGCTGATGTAGCTAATTCAAATATGATGTGACAAGTTATGACCATTAAAAAAATTACGAGTCAACAAAACCATTGTTATCCAACGTACACTTGGTCACAATTTACTCATTAAACTTCAAAATACTTCCCAATGATCACTCATCTTTGAAATGTTGTATTCCATCCATCATCCATCATATTTTGTTCCTTTCGTTGTTAATGTTCACATAGAAAGTCTACTTTGTAAATTGCAAATGTTAAAAAAATTACGACTTAACAAAATTATTAACTCACCAAAACCACCATATGTGAAATGTAACTTCCATAGTCTCATAAACTTTTTTAAAACCCAATAAAACGTCCCCGTTGACTCTTTTAAAAATATCACTTTTCCAATTCTAAAGTTTATTGTGTGAAAAATAGGTCTCAATCTAAAGCTGAAAATTTGAAGCATGGCTTGTTTGATCGAAAATTGATTTGTGAAAATGATTTGTTTATATTTTACCTCTTTTAACTTCGGATTACATCCAATTGATCATGGTTGATCTTCAATCATTGTTTTGTATTTCAATTATACTTTGTTTGTATTTAACAAGTTTCTTGTTTATTGTCTCTAATTCCATCAATTTCATTGATCTTTATCTAACAAACACAATATTTATATAATTAAGCCATAATTCATTTAAATATCCAACGAATACTCTAACTTAACAGTCTAAATAAGTGTAACATAATGCACTTATCCCTACGATTTTTAGGGCTGAAATTGGGGACGCTTTATTGGATTTTAAAGAAGTTTTTGGGAAGTAGAAATCACGTTTCACGTATGGCGATTTTTGTGAGTTGATGGTTTGGTTAAGTTGATTTTTTTTTTCTTATTTGATGATTTCGTATAATAAGTTAGCAATGAAGTGAACGAAATATAGTGGATAATGGATGGAGTGCGATATCTCAAAAATGAGTGACCGTTAGGAACATTTTGAAGTTTGATGAGTAAATTGTGGCCGAGTGTAAGTTGAACGCGTAATGAAACAATTGTTTGGTTGAGTTGTAATTTTTTAACAATCGTAACTTGACACGTCAAATTTTCTTTAGCCATGTTAGCAAATAAGATAACGATTTTTTTAGGATAATAGATAGAGTGTAAATAGACAATTCAGCGAATACTACGAAGTACTTAGAAGTTTAATGAGTAAACCACAATCACGGTATAAGTTGGATCATTACAAAAGGAAGGCACTTATTTGATATTTCTAAGTCGTAGTCATGGTCGAGAAGAATACAAAAAAAAAACCACTTTAATAGTCAAATGATCCGACAATAGGTGGCCCACATGAGAGTAACATATTATTTATTTTGTGGCCTATGCGTAATGTTTGACTAAGCTTAAAAAGTTTACAAAAAAGTTAAGCATTGAATTTTTATGGAGAAAATATACAATTAAAAGTAAGTTATTTTGACAATTTACATAAAAAATTAATTATTAAATTTTTATGAGAAAATATACAATTAAGTAAGTTATTTTGACAACTTTTTCTACTTCAATAATAAAAAAATAAATGATCTTTATTTAAAATAAAAAAAAGTTCACGATAAATAGTTCTGCAAACTTTTGTCTTCTTAAAGAAATAAACTTAAACTCAAGTCTTGAATTATACGCCTTTTGTTGAAGATCACTTAAATGCTAAATTAAAAAAAATATATCCTAAATAAAATATAAATTTAAAACATAGCCTCCTCACTTTTTTTTTTTTTTTTTTTACCATTTTTTCTTCTTATTTTATGCATAAAACTTTACAATCTTATGTACATCTAGTCCCCACTCCTGATTTTACATTGGCATAAAGAGAAAATTGCCTTCAAATTTAAATAAAAAAATTTAAAAGTTTTAAAGAAATAGAAAATCAACATATTATTAATTAACCGTGTTTGATTAATTTAATTTTCAATTTAAAAAAATATTATATTTGTCTATTTTTATTGGTAGATAGATGAGAGAGAAATGATAGATAAGATAGAGAAAGAGAGAGTGAATTATCTGAAAAATAAACACACATTTCCCTAAAGAAAATATTTCATTGTTTTTGAAAAAAATATATTCACATGATCAAAAATTAAAAAAATTTGTCAATCAAACACTTCAAAAGTAGGAATTTAGATGGAAAAATAATATTTTTCATGAAAAATAGAGCCAATCTAACAAGCTCGTAATTTAAACGTGTCTATGAAAGAAAAGTGGAGAATTTAAATGTCAATAAAAGTAAATTGGATTAAAATGAACAAAGTAGTAAAACACTTGAATTCCGCCCATGCAAATTAATTAATCAAGAAACACTTCAAATTCATTTTCATTTTTCTTGATTTTATTTATTTATTATTATTATTTTGGGTATCCATCCCACTTTCCTGTTGCCTTCCATTCAATTGTCCATTTTTATATTTAATTCCGCGTTCGCACCGTCAGCGGTGACGCATTCACTTATAGGAGCAAAGTCAGTAAATTTATCATTTTTATATATAATCATTCAACAAATATGTGTGTAATGATTTATAATCAGGTAATAAACAGAAACTTTTCAATTTTCATACACTAAATCACTGGAATAATTGCTACCAGAATTATTATTATAATATCAAAAAAATAAAAATAAAAATAAAAAAAAAGCAGTGCATCTTGGAGATATTAGCAGATCGAATAGATTCTGCGCATCTTCAACTTTTTCTCGTCTGCCCTAGTCCAGAAGAACCTTTTTTGGACCCAAAAATCTGGAGTACTTTTTCCCATCTAGTGGCCAAGTTTACTTTTGGTTTGATTCTTGTACTGTATTCCAGCTTTATTCGGTAATTATTCAGTCCTTCTGGGTTCCTTTTTTCGTGTACTTCAATGGTATTGCCAAATTCATTTCATTTTGTTTCACTATGAAATAATTGAAGATGCAGTGAATCGTAATTGGTTTGTTGAGGGATTTGTTCTTCTTTTGTTTTGTTTTTTTTTTTTTTCCCGATGAAAAATGGAGTCAAGAAAAGACATGGCTGTGTTAATTTTTTGATGTTATTTATTTTCGCCCTTATCTCTTTTATGAAGTCATGAAGTTCAAGACATGGGATGAGATGAGGTTTAACAGATCTTTTCTGAGATGAGTTTTTGCTGAAAATTAAGAATTGAAGGGAAGATGAAGATTCTATTAGAGCTAGTTTGTTATGCTTAGAAATAAATCAAACTTACTTTTAAATTACTTATTTTGTCAAATATGATTTTCAGAGTTGCTTCTTTTACTGATAAATCTTAAATTTTGATCATCTATAATGGATGTTATGTGGTTTCATGGAAGAAAGTAAAAGCCCTCATGAAAGTATTTGGTGGGACACAGGTACTCAAATATATAATGTTGGATTAATGTATGCACAGTAAAATACAACTATAGGTTTACTGATTTTGGGTGTAATCTTAATTTGTTGATGAGAACTATGGGTATATTTTGAAGATATTTTCCTTGTTTTGAGGAAATAAAAAATCTACCTCTCCAAAGAAAATGTTTTCTCCAAAAATAAGGAAAATATGCATATTTTCAAAGGTTGGAAAATATTTTCCATGGAAAAAATTGGCAATTAAACACTCAAAAGTTGAAATTTGGGTGGAAAAAGGCCATTTTCCATGAAAAATTTTCAAACTCACCCTAAATGTTTTGTGAGTATGCAGAGGGTGAAATTGTTTCATGTCCCTGGAATATAATTTCATTTTGTTCTGAATTTGAATTTTACTGGTTGGCAGAGTAGAGAACCGGAGAATTATGTGTTTATAAAGAGTTAAAATACCAGAGTTTAGAGTGATTTAAAATGGCTTTCAAGCCGCTTGAATGGTATTGCAAGCCTGTGAAGAATGGGGTATGGTCAAAAGCAGTGGAAAATGCCTTTGGAGCTTACACTCCTTGTGGAATTGACACAATAGTAATCTGCATTTCAAATCTGGTTCTTCTGAGCTTGGTCTTATACAGGCTATGGAGGATAAGGAAAGATTTTTCGGTCCAAAGATTCCGTTTAAGGTCAAATTATTACAATTATTTTCTGGGACTGTTGGCTGCTTATTGCACTGGAGAACCTTTGTTCAGATTGGTCAAGGGAATTTCAGTGTTTGACGTTGACGGGGAGTCTGGACTCGCTCCTTACGAGGTAGATTTTTTTTTTTTTTTTTCACAATCCAGTGTTTAATTTCTGTTCAGAAATACTGCTTTCTCTTTTGCCTACATACTAAATTATCTCATGTTGTCTTCACTTTCTTTATTAAAATTTGGTTTGATATGCAAATGAATTTTAGACTCCCCCTGAGAAAATGCTTACAGATTCTATTATTGAACTTGTGTTGTTTTGTTTACCTAATTATGTTGATTGATCTTGGTTTAATCAAATTTAGATTTATAGATATTCCCATATAAATAAAAGAGAGATGAAGTGGAAAAAAATCCACCCTAATAACTAAAAAGTACTATTTCTGGTCCAAATATCTGCAAGGCAGTGGCCGAGAGAGGTGGTGGCCACTGGGGTCACTGGTTTCCATGAGTATTATTAGTTAATTTTAATACTTCTGTATTTTGTATATGAAAAAAATCTCCGTAGTTAAATTCTGCCCGCACACTGGTTCCAATCTTGACTTCACAATTGCTGCAAGGCATCATTTATCGAAAGATTATTCTGCGAATTTATGTTGCCTTATTTATGTAAAGCTATTACATTTGCCTTTGACAATTCGTTGCATCTATTTTGTAGATAATTTCTCTGATCATAGAAGTTCTAGCATGGTGCTCTATGCTGGTGTTGATTTGTGTAGAAACAAAGGTCTACATTCGCGAGGTCCGATGGGCTGTCAGATTTGGGGTTATTTATAAACTGGTTGGGGATGCTGTGATGCTGAATCTTGCACTCTCTGTGAGGGAGTTTTATCATCAGTTAGTTCTCTTGATAAATTCATAAACATGCACATAAACCAAATTTTACATGCACATGTCTTGTTGATGTTATTTCTGCAGCCATTACTTTGCATATAATAATGCTATAATAACAAAATTTACACGGCAGCCATATCTCCACTTATCCTCTGGTTGTCTACTGATAATGTTTCATATATAATTTGGCATTTGAATGATCTGAAAATAACAATTGGATGGAACCAAAATATATTTGAAAGTAAATGAGAGATATTTACCATTTGTTACATGGATGTCTTAACTATTTCTCTTTATATTTTGTTGTTGTATGAAAAGATTTTAAATATTGATATAATTAAAGTGATGGTATTTACTTTCATCTGAAAGATTACATGTAGTAGTGCACTCCCAATTTACAATTGTCTAAGTACAATTTCATGGTTGTTTATTTTGACTGTGCAGGTCCGTACTGTATTTGTATATCAGTGAGGTGGCTGTCCAGGTTTGTTGCACTAAATTTCCTTATCCTCTAAATATTGATATAACTTAAAACATGTTATCAATTATTCCGATAGTGGTCTAATATGGCTAATTCCTCCACAAAAGCTGATGTATGATGCTTCAAGCTTTGCAGACAGTAACTGGTGCAGAAGTGGAATTAAAATCCTTGAATCAAGAAGGAAGTCGAAAACTTGAAAATTTTGTACAGAATAATTTGATTGTAATGAATTGTTTATTGAAAAATTTTACAAAAATATTTCCTTATATAAGAAAAATATCTCTAGTGTTACATGGAAGATAAAGTAATTAAAACCTAAAAGAATAACTAAACAAAAATCTAATCTAAAAGAATAAAAGTCCTAATCTAAACAAGAAAGAAAATCCTACTACAACAATAAATAATTTCTGTCCTATTTAAAATAGGATTTTCCTATATCAGTAACATTTCTTTAAAGGTGTTGACTGCCAATTTTCAGATTCTTTTGTTTCTGTGCAGGTTTTATTTGGAGTACTCTTGCTTGTGTATATACCTGAATTAGACCCATACCCGGGCTATTCCCTCGTACGAGATGAATATGCAGAAAACGATGCATATGAAGAACTTCCTGGAGGGGAGCAGATATGTCCCGAGAGACATGTCAACCTATTTTCTAGTACGTAATTATTTACTGTGTACACCAAAGGATGATCTTGTATTCCTTAGTTGCCTTAGACCAAAAATAGATATATATATATATATATATATACTTGATGGCTATTTTGAAATCCTTTGTACGCAGAGGCATTCCATCCATCCATCATATGTTTATAGTTTTGTATGCACGTGGGATGTATCTATCTCATTTCTATATATCCATTTCTATGTGATTCTTTAAACTTGATTTGATTTTTGCCTCTTCTCCTTCTACATCTTCAAGACACACGTAGCATGATGTTGGTACCTCTAGAAAACGGATTGAGTGTATCTTTCTTAGCTTTTAATGGTTACCTTTCGATAGATGTCGTGTTATGGGCTTTTTTGTTTTTCTTTGTTCTTTTTTTTTTTTGACTGCTAAGCATTTGCCTCCAATAATAATTGGTTGCCTGCTTCTTCTACAGAAATCATGTTCAGTTGGATGTCTCAACTCATGCAGTTGGGCTATAAAAGGCCTCTTACAGAAAAGGATGTTTGGCAACTTGATAATTGGGATAGAACAGAAACACTCAATGACACGTATGTAGCTTTATATGTTTTCCCTGTTCAAATATGGTCGGTTTCATTAGGCAGAAAGTTACATGTCCCTTTTTCTGGAACAAATATGGCACATGAAAGTAATATGTTACTATGCCCTTTAGGTTCCAGAGATCTTGGGCTGAGGAGATTCGGAGGCCTAAACCATGGCTCTTAAGAGCTTTAAATCGTAGCCTTGGGGGAAGGTAAGAGAGCGTGTATTTGCTGGGAAGTTTTTGGCTCATGCGCAAATTTATCTTTTTTTAAATGTTTGATGATTAATGCTTTCCATCTTTTCTTTTTCATCGTTTCTTTTTATTTTTCAGATTTTGGTGGGGAGGCTTCTGGAAGGTATCGAACTAATTTGGTTTCTCTTATCAATAATCTTTCAGTTAAATTCATTCATATTGTTGAGTAAAGCACCACAATTACAGGTTAATGATTTTGTAAAGTATTTATACGTTAACAAGGGAGTTGCAATTTTAACTTCTTTCCAAAGTTAACTGAAATTTGTCACAACCTTATCTCATTTCTTGCTATTGTTTAGAAAAGAAGAAAATGGGTTTTTGATGCATCACAGATGTCATTATTTTTAATGTGCAGATGTTTTTTCTTTTTCTTTTTCCTTGAATCATAGTTTTCCAGTGCGAAATGCCATACAACTCTACCGTCTTTGTTTTAGTTTGAAAATAATTGAATTCTTCTTTTCGGATGACGGCATGTTTATGACTTAGATAGTTATTGAGCTTAGCCAAAAAAAAGGCCCAAAGATAGTAAGAAAAATAAGGGGTAAAAGCTGGCATCATTTTAGCTAATCAATAAGTATTAAATGCTTTCCCTGGAATTTGACGGCATTTATTTAAATATTAAATGAATTCATGGCAGGTTACAATTTACATTTGTAACTTTTGACTTGTCTATTGGAAGACTCTTTGCCCTAACAATCTTCTAATCTTGATCCACTTGTAGATATTCAATGATCTTTCACAGTTTGTTGGGCCACTCATTTTGAACAGACTTCTACAGGCAAGTTGCACTCCTGTAGATGCCTTGTGGGATATAGATTATTATACATTAATCCCATGCCAATATCTTAGACAGAGCCATATAATTGACCCCCACCCCCAATAAAAAATGGAAAAAAAAATATTATGGAGCTTATCTATATGTGTGTGTATTTGACCAAAATCAAAAGAATCTCATTTATGTCTCTCATTTATATCTAGTCTATGCAACGAGGAGATCCAGCTTGGATTGGCTACATCTATGCCTTCGCAATTTTTGTTGGAGTGGTATGTAATGAACTCTTTGTTTTTCTCATAGCATATTGTTGAATGGCATGCACCTCATTTGTTTTCAAAGATGCTTTATCCATTTGTAGTCATGCTTTTTAAATTTTAGTTGTTTTCTGCTGGTTCTGAAGCATATTGAAGACTGTATGCCTATGTGTGTGAGAACTCTCTTAGGAGTTCGTGTCCTTTGCTGCATGCTATTATGGTGACATGCCGATCTAGATATGTATCAGTACACGAGACTGAGGATGATGGATATTTTTATTGGCTTTCAGTAGCTCCCAGAAAGTATAGTGAATTGAAATGTTTTTACTGACATTCTACAGGAGAAAAGTAGATGAAGAACTAATAGGATGATGAATATTTTTATTGGCTTTCAGTAGCTCCAAGAAAGTATAGTGAATTGAAATGTTTTACTGACATTCTAGGGAGATAAGTAGATAAAGTACTACTATAGACTTTGTAGTCCAATGGGAATATTTTCTTTACAGTCTTATACGTAGGAAGCTGAAAATAATTGCAAGGAAGATGTCGCTTTATATTAATCAGAAGAAATCAGTTTGGAAGAAATTGAGATGAAACTTTTAAAGGATATTGTTGTGGGCCTGAATCTAAGTGTGGCTAATGGCTCATAGTAATTTTTTCAAGTTTTGTCCTTTTGGTGGTGAAGGATTTTCAGTTTATCTTTGTATGGGATGGGTTTTACTAGTTTTTGTGGTGTCACTCTTTGTTAAGAATGTATTATGCTGTTTTTAGTTTTTTCTATTCCATCTTGCACTTTTCACCCTTCTTACTCTTGGAGTAATTTGTTTGACTACAATTTCATTCAGGTATTAGGTGTGCTGTGTGAAGCTCAGTATTTTCAGAATGTCATGCGTGTTGGCTATCGTCTGAGGGCAACCCTGGTAATTAGTCCTTTTACCTCCTTATACGTACTGGTCCTATCATTTTATGCGAGTTGGATGCATTTTGCAGAGTACATAATATTTATTTATTGTCATGTTAACTTGACAACTTGTCCGTCCTGGTTGGACTGGGGGTTGGGAGGGAGTGGAAGGGAATGATACAATGTTTGGGATTTATGTGTATGGGAAGGGTCTCAGTTCTGAAGCAACCATGTATGTGTGGTGTGTGATTCTTTGGCCTCCTAAGATGCCATTTGACAATCATTTTACGGGTTCTTAGTTTCTAAATGCATGCGAATTGATGGAGATAGAAATATAGATAGAGGTAAAGTTTAGATATTATATTATTTTAAAAGTAGAGTTTGATTCAAAATATTTTATTTAGATTAGATTAAATTAGATTTGATAAAGTTCTAGATTAGAAGAATTTTCTTTTGATTTGATATTCTTTTAATTTCTTGCTATATGCATAAAGGGCTTATTCACTTGATTATATGAATAAACTGATCTTCCTCTTGCCCTAATTCTCTGCTTTGCACGCCTTTCTTTTCATGATCTTTGATTGTTGTCAATTATATGTTCCTGCATTGCGAATACTCTCTTGGCATATTTTGAACTTGTCATCTATATTAGATTGCTGCAGTTTTCCGCAAGTCTTTAAGGCTCACCCATGAGAGTCGCAAAAAGTTTGCATCAGGGAAAATCACAAACCTAATGACAACTGATGCTGAGGCTCTCCAGGTATGTATTTTTCTCTATGTATGCACATGTATATTTTGAATGATGCAAATTACCTTTTTTGTGGCCGATGTTCAGATAACTAGATAATATTCTGCATAGAACTCAATTTGGACTTTAGATATGATTTATGATTTCAAATCCGTTGTATAAAGAGAGTAAACAGACTTCGTGATTTGTGATGAATAATAACATAGCCTGTTTTGTTACTTATCGGATTTGGAGGTAGTTGGATTCTGTGAAAATATTTTATACTTGCCATTACATGGTCTATTTGGAGAGGACAGAATGCACAAAAGTTCTCTCCTTCGAATCATTTTTCGCATCTGAATTTTTATCATCATTTGGCGGCAGACTCTTTTAGCGGCCAATCCTTAACGGATGTGGAAAATGGGTGGCTTCTAATGTTTGAATGGTTTCTTTCTATTTTATCATTTAGTCATGGAGACAGCCTTGACCTCTACTTTTTTATCTATTCTCTTCTTGGAACAAATTCTTTTTCCATTAAAAAATTGCTGCTGCTTGGCAGTTCTTAAAAGCTTCAACTTTGTTTTTTAAAAAGTTTATTGTAAGGCTTGTGAACTAAGTACACATGTCTACTTCAAGTGTTATTGTCTGTGTTTTTGGTGGTCAAATTTGTTAAATATTTCATGGATGTTTTATCTCCTCATATTATGTGTTATTTATTGCTTAATTTAACTAAACCATTTCGTCTTTTTCTACAGCAAGTTTGCCAATCACTACATACTTTGTGGTCAGCTCCTTTTCGCATTGTTATTTCCCTGGTTCTTCTCTACATGCAGCTTGGCATTGCTTCACTTCTTGGTGCACTATTGCTTGTTCTTATGTTCCCTATACAAGTATGAGCTTCACTTCAAGGCGCCATTGATTTTTGTTGATCTGCTGTTTTGCCTGCACCTTTCTATGTTATATTTTCCTGCTTATTTATGTGGCTCTGTCTGCAATTTGAATTGTTTGTTCAAAAATTTATCTCGATACATTTCATCTTAAGATGTAGAATTGTAAGCATGAAATAGAAAACTAAATGATAGTGGGGTTTTGGATTGTGGAACCAGTCAAAACCTGGTCAATTTACATTTTAGGTTTGTGAACCTGGGCTCAGCCCATCCTGTTAGATTAAATGTTTCAAAAATTTCATGGACCAACAACCAAACCAACATTGATTCTTATTAACTTATTTTGCGGGATATTATGTAATAGTTCAATGTATTATTATAACAAAAATATCAACTAATCAAGATATTAGGAAAAAAAATTGTAATACATTTAGCTCAGTTTAAAATATTAAAAAAATTCTAAAAAATATTTTTTAATTTAACATGCCTTAAAGTTTCAAGACACGTATTATTTCTACTTTTTTTGCTATATAATATTTTCCATTTTGAATTTTCAACCAACAATGACCTGTTGGTTTTATCAGTTGTCTGTGGATTGAACCAGTGACCCACGAGCAAGGTGCTTTGACCGGATTAGTGACCAGTTTGGGTTTAAAAACTGTGCTAAAACCAATTCATGGTGGGTCATAATTTACATCTAACATTAACTCCTAAAATGGATTTGTGTTAATGCAAAAATGTCTAATCAATGGGATCATAGATCAGTCAGATATTTCTACACATGTCGAAAATCTTTAATGGAGGATACTATAATCACCACTTATGACACGTGATAAATTCAAGCTGGTTCTTGCAGAATGGGAACTTCTGCTCTAAATTTTATGGAAATCCTATCGAATGTTAAATGATAAAAGAAGGGCAAAGAGCTGCATGAGTAGCGGTTCTCATTGGCTTTATTTTATCATCATATATTTCCTGTTAAGAACATATTTTTTGATACTGTCTGCATTATATTTGAATTGGTTCCCACCCTTTTTCTAATGGCTCAATATTTTGTTTCTCATGAATACCCATTCATGAGAGCTTACACAGTGAACCTGAATATCAAATCTTTTTGAAGGAGTTATCCATTTGGCACGAGTTGTACCTCCTCTTTGTTTACCCTTTATACGCTTGGATATAAGGAATTTCTCAGCAATCTATTGCTGAACTGATCGATTTTTAGTTTTCTTCTATCTGCTCGTATAATCTGCCACTGCTTCATTATATCTTGAATGAAATTTTGCTAATTTTGGAATCAATGTATCCAAACAGACATTCATAATAAGCAAAATGCAAAAATTGACAAAAGAAGGATTGCAACGTACAGACAAGAGAATTGGACTTATGAATGAAATTTTGGCTGCCATGGACATTGTGAAGTAAGGTTCATGCATAGATGCTTATTTCTAAATGTGTTTTATATTAGGTAGCTAAGTTCCAGTTAATTTTTTGCCAAAATTGCTTCAGATGTTATGCATGGGAGAATAGTTTCCGAACAAAGGTTCAAGTTGTTCGAGATGATGAGTTGTCATGGTATCGGAAAGCCCAACTGCTAGGAGCGGTATGATCTTGATCCATCTCCTTTATAATTTATTTTTATTTACTATTAATCGAGACTAAGAATAGTTCAAAGGTATGCGTATGCAGTAGAGACATTTTTTAGCAACAATTTGTTTAGTGTATAATGTGGAAGCGTTATGAAATTCTTGCAATAAGATTTATGTAATAAATAAAAGTTATATTTGAACAATAATGTCATGTATATATTGAATAATAATTGATTGTTGTTGAAAAGTGTACAATGTCCCTAGGCAAAATTATTCTCTACTTCTACTACTATTAGGAAACTAATATAACGGAACTAAAATAAATCTTATTCTAAACAAGAAATAAGAATAAAAAGATGAACCTATTACAACTAGATATCTTATTATAGTTATTTAACTTTTATCCTTTATACATAGGATTTTCCTACACCAATCTCTTCCACTTGAAAGAAACTCGTCCTAAAGTTTTGTTGAAGAAAAGAATCCTTGATAACTTGTGCATTTTTCGAACTTGGCTGGGACTCGAGGAAATTCTCTAGCCACATGCCGTTTTCTATACTGTTGAACCAACATTCATAGCAGTTAAAGTTACAAATTCTTGTCAATTTGCTTCTCCATGAGCTCACGATTCCTTTCAAGACTGGACGCAGTCAGCATCTACGTGATGTCATGAAAGGTTTCGTCAATCCCCTCAATTCGTTGTTCGAGTTTGTGGAGCCTCCATTTGTCGTCAATGGTTCGATTGCCACCATCACCATTGTTAGCCATCAGAGCAAGGCAATTTCCCTACTTTGATACCAATTTTGGTGTGCAAGCGTTATGAAATTCTTATAATAAGAATTGTGTATAAAATTATTTTTATTTACTATTAATCAAGACTAAGAATGAGTTCAGAGGTATGCATGTGCAGTAGAGACATTTTTTAGCATCAATTTGTTGAGTATATGGTGTGGAAGCGTTATAAAATTCTTGTAAGAAGAATTATGTAATAAATAAAAGCTATATTTGAACAATAATGTTGTGTATATATTGAATAGTAATTGATTATTATTGAAAAGTGTACAATACTTATATATTTATAGGCAAAATTATTCACTATTAGGAAACTAATAGAAGGGAACTAAAATAAATTCTAATCTAAAAGAAATTAGAAATCCTATTGTAAACACGAAATAAGAATAAAAAGATAAACTTATTACAACTAGATATCTTATTATAATTATCTAATTTATGTCCTATTTATAATAATGCTATCCTACATCAATTTCTCCCACTTGAAAAAAACTCGTCCTCAAGTTTCGTTGAAGGAAAGAATCCTTGATAACATGTGTGTTTTCGAACTTGGCTGGGACTCGAGGGAATTCTCTAGCTATATGTTGCCGTGTTCTATGCTGTTGAAACAATTAACATTCATAGTAGTTAAAGTTTGCAAGTTTTTGTCAGCTTGCTTCTCCATGAGCTTGCGATTCCTTTCAAGATTCAATGCAATCAGCATCGACGTGATGTTGTGAAAGGTTTCGTCAATCTCCTCAATTTGTTTTGAGTTTGTTGAGCCTCCGTTCATCGTTGACGGTTTGTGTAACGGCTCGAATCCTTGACTATTTGAGTGTCAGTAAATAAAACTTAAATTCTTTCATAAGAACTAAAGTAAGAACAAGAAATAATTTTTTCTTCAACAAGTAAATAAATCGTGGTCTTATTATGTAGCTGTAAAGAAAAAAAAAGAAAATAATTCCAACATAACAATTAAATTATAAATTTATAGTTGTGTTTTAAACCTAGTTCATTGTCATCTCCACGTTGATTGCCTCGAACCATCAATTGCCTGAAAGGGGGAATTATCATATAGTGAGATTTATAAAATCTCAATAAGTGCGTTATGAATTATTATCGTGCATAACTCAAAGGAGTATAATAATCATAATCAACATAATAGAGAGAGAGGAATTTTTCCGAGCATAGGTGGTAAGAATTCTTATGCAGAGCGCTATTAAACTCCGGTCCTTTTAACATAATCATATCATACTATATGAGACCTATAATAATTTTCTTGAAATTCATAACATAATAATAATTCAATATAGATAGTGTACTTACAATGAAATTTGAAAGAGTAATAGAGACTTAATTCCTCTACAATTTTCACCTCGGCATATGAACGTGTATATGTGTATATTATTTAGATTGAAAAATAATAGTAAGTGGTAGCATGTGAATGTGAATAAGGGATTTAAATAGGATAAGGCTAGGTATGCATAATTAAGGTTCCTTGAAATTTGTGAAATGAGCAAGAATCTCTTACTCATTCCTATATTCATGCATTCACACTACACATTACCTTATGTTTGGTCAATCAAGCATGAATCAAGAATTTTCTACGTAGGTGTTTGACTAAGAATTCAACCTTTCTTTAAAACAAAAACATGTGGGAATTAGCATTTATAGTAAGTTTGCTACAAGATCCTAGAAGGTGGATTAACTCTCAAATGATCCCCTAAATTTTCTATTCTAATAATTAGACCCAGAAATTTGGGTGTAGGTATTAGAGTTCGACTGTCACCACGACCATCGTCAGCCATCAGAATAAGGCAATTTCCTTGCTTTGATACCAATTTTGGCGTGGAAGCATTATGAAATTCTTATAGTAAAAATTATATAATAAATAAAAATTATATTTGAAAAATAATGTCATGTATATATTGAATAATTGTGGTTGAAAAGTGTACAATGCTTCTATATTTTTAGGCAAAATTATTCCTTACTTCTACTACTACTACTAAGAAACTAATGTACGGGAACTAAAATAAATCCTAATCTAAAAGAAATTAGAAAGCCTATTCTAAAAAAGAAATAAGAATAAAAAGATAAACCTATTACAACTAGATATCTTATTATAATTATCTAACTTTTATCTTGTTTACAATAGAATTGTCCTATATTAGTATACTGTTGATTGTATAAACGTGGTACGATTACTGTTCACTTTACAGTATCTGTTTTCCATCAGATTGTGTGATTCACTTAAAGCTTGTTCACATCCACTTTCATCTGATTAAGCAAATACATAAAGCAATTAGGGCAAAGGTTGGAGTACTGAAATACACGTAAGTGTTTGGTTCTGAAAAAGAATAAATTTTGAGTGATTGATATGTTGCTCATCTGTCGTTCTGATAGCTTTTGACAGCTAGTCATATTACCTATACCATATGTGCGTAAAATTGATGTGCTGCATTAGTTGTCACGTGGTTGTATATTTCTGTTTCTATTCTTCCTTCTTTCTTACAATCTTTTTTTTTCTTTTTTAGATTCCTTATGTACTATTCTTTGTTCCTTTATGTCTGATTTTGCTTTTTTCCGTTCTCCAATTGCCTATTGATTGGACTATCATTTGTAAATTTGTAGACGAATAGTTTTGTACTGAACAGTATTCCGGTTCTGGTAATTGTAATTTCATTTGGGACATTCACTTTACTTGGAGGGGATCTGACGGCTGCAAGGGCATTTACATCTCTTTCGCTGTTCGCGGTGCTGCGGTTTCCATTGTTCATGCTCCCCAATATAATTACGCAGGTAGCCTTTCAGATACATTTCTCATAATTTGATGCTAGATATAAATATCTTGTTTGGCTCTTAAATTTCTGATGGGATATTTGGTTATATCTCCTGCTTATACTAAATTCTATATGCACTTTCCTTTCTGCAACAAAGTGAAATGGCTGGGTCATAGATTATTTATTTATATTTATTTTTTTGTCCAGTTGCCATAAACTTTTACCAATTTTTTGTGGTAGTTTTTAGTTCTGATTTTCTCGCACAGTCACGTTTCAATGTAATTTATCTGTAGGGGAGAATACTGTTCTCCATATTAATTATATGCTTTTGTGTTCTAATTTACAGGTTGTGAACGCGAATGTTTCCTTAAAACGTCTGGAGGAACTTCTTTTATCTGAAGAACGAGTTCTTCTTCCTAACCCACCTATTGAGCCAGGATTACCAGCTATCTCAATCAAGAATGGATACTTTTCTTGGGAATCTAAGGTCTGCTATATCTTCTGAGCAAGTTTTAACTGAATGATAAGAAATATTTTATTTGACTAAGCATACTAGAACTTATTTTACAAGGTGCATTCCAATGATATGTGAAAAAACCTTCTGTTTCAATGTAGTAGGGAGTCTCTTTTTTTGGGGGACTGTATGAATTGCAGATTCCAGGTAGAAGGGAATGAATATAATATTTGTTTATCTGTGAAATATTGGCATCTTTATTTCCTCTTTGAATGTTATGACTGTAGGCTCCACATTGTTGATATGGGCATGATTCTCAAATGTGGATAATGAAAAGTTATTTGGCTACAACTTTTCTCTTTTGCAGATATTTTATGTTGTATAGCACACTGATTATAATTGACTTACACTAGTTAGGTGCACTATTTGATGTAATTTTCGTCGTTGATGTAAAAAGAAGAACGAAGAAGAAATAGATTATAGAGGGTCAGCACAATTTTTCTTATCTTCCGGACAAGCACTAGAGTTTATTAATCATTTTAAAGACTTGTTCACGTGGTACCTATATTTGATAGCTGCATATTTGTAAATATTCCGGGACATATGGGGATCTAAAATTTGCCTATCCATAGCAGGAGGAGAAGCCAACATTGTCAAATGTCAATTTGGATATACCAATTGGTAGCTTAGTAGCAATAGTTGGCGGTACTGGGGAGGGAAAGACCTCACTTATATCAGCAATGCTTGGAGAACTTCCTCTGGTTGCAGATGCAACTGTCGTTATCAGAGGGAAGGTTGCTTATGTACCACAAATTTCATGGATTTTCAATGCAACGGTAAGTTAAGAAATATGATATATATTTCTATTGATCTCTGTTCCTTTCTGAAACTTTGGTTGTCAGTTGATGTTGCCAATCCTAGTGTTAGCACCACTCTAAGTTGAGTGGAATGTATCCACATTTTTTATTAATTTAGAGCAAAGATCATTTAAAGATCCTCAAAAGTAAATAGATCCGAAACATATACAATGTGGTTAATCCTGATGTGGTCCAAGCTATTATTGTGAAAATCGGAAGTGTCTTGTGTTTAGTTCTCAATGACTCGCTACCTTCATGAGATGCATTTTTATTTTATAGGTCCGGGACAACATACTGTTTGGTTCTCCTTTCGAACCTGAAAAATACGAGAAGGCAATAGATGTAACATCTTTGCAGCACGACCTTGAACTACTGCCTGTAAGCATGCCCTGAAGTATATATCGCAGGGTTAATATTTTCTTTATTTTAGCTGTTTCTTGTCAGAATTATTGTCTACTTAATGCTTTATGTATTAGGGTGGTGATCTTACTGAAATCGGTGAACGTGGGGTCAATATTAGTGGAGGGCAAAAGCAGAGAGTTTCTATGGCTAGAGCAGTATATTCTAATTCAGATGTTTATGTATTCGATGATCCTTTAAGTGCTCTAGACGCTCATGTGGGTCGTCAGGTAAATACTTAATATCAATGTATGTGCGTAAAAATTTACTTCTGATCCCTACATCTGCAATGTTTTCCAATCTAATAATTTGTGGGACAATAGTTTGGATACTTTCAACTGCCGTGCAATGTTTTCCAATCTAATAATTTGTGGCACAATAGTTTGGATACTTTCAACTGCCAATGGTTCTGGCTTTTGTATATGTATAGCTATACTGATAAATTGAGAAAAGTACATCCGTATTTTTCTTGAAGAAACTCTGTTTATAGTTGTGTTGTCAAAACATTAATTGTTATGTTGTTACCCTCGTTACTTTAATTAACACCATGGAATAAGAGAGAAATCGTAAAAATGTACCAATATTCTTCTCTTCTTGATACGAACTTAATTTGTGACAGTTAATAGCCATCTTTTGACAACTGAAATTTTAAATTTATGCTTTTACTTTGTCATACATCATTTGTGCTTATGTGCTTTTTCAGGTTTTTGAAAAGTGCATCCGAGGAGAATTAAGAGGAAAAACAAGAGTTCTAGTTACAAACCAGCTGCATTTTCTATCTCAAGTAGATAGAATTATTCTGGTGCATGATGGCATGGTCAAAGAGGAAGGCACCTTTGAAGAGCTCTCAAACAATGGCATTCATTTTCAGAAACTGATGGAAAATGCTGGCAAGATGGAAGAATACGTCGAAGAAAAGGAAGATGTTGGCACAACAGATAAAACTTCTGAACCTATGGCTAATGGTGTGGGCAATGATGCTAATCAAACAAATAAAAAGAAAGAAGGCAAATCCATTCTTATCAAGCAGGAAGAACGGGAAACTGGTGTTGTCAGTTGGAATGTTTTGATGAGGTACAGTAATCAACTTTTATTATTATTAATTTATAGATGCATATTCTTAAACATTTTGTACTCTTATTAACTATCTAACTATAGGATAAAAGTTTTTGCAATCACTTTTTTAACTTGTTACATCTTATGTAATTAACCATAAGCTGCAGAATTGCTCCATGGAAATTGCAGTTGCTATTGAGTAATGTTGTTTACTGTATTGTAATAATTTTTTTCTTGAACTCCTTGTAGATACAAGAATGCATTGGGAGGTACATGGGTAGTTATGATATTATTCACGTGCTATGTCCTAACTGAAGCTCTACGAGTTTCAAGTAGCACATGGCTAAGTTACTGGACAGAGCAAAGCCATTCAGATACACATGGGCCTATCTTCTACAATTTGATCTATTCAATTCTGTCATTTTGTCAAGTAGGTTTTGTAGATGATCTCAATTCTAATTCTTGATAATTCTCTTATTTGCTTGTGCCTCTTAACAATGATGCCCCCTTTTCATTTTTGGTTGTGTGCTTTTTTCTATTGCTCTTTTAATAGACGAGGCTTAGTCAGCCATTTGAAGATAATTAAAATGTGCCACTTTCCTAAATTTGAAATTCAGGTTTTGGTGACATTCGTGAACTCGTTTTGGTTGATCACGTCAAGCCTTTATGCTGCCCGAAGTTTGCACAACGCGATGCTCAATTCTATCTTAAGAGCTCCAATGGTTTTCTTTCACACAAATCCACTCGGACGGATAATCAACAGGTTTGCTAAGGATCTAAGTGACATTGATAGGAATGTTGCTCCTTTTGCGAACATGTTTCTGAACCAAGTGGCACAGCTTATTTCAACATTTGTCCTAATTGGGATAGTGAGCACCATGTCATTATGGGCCATACTGCCTCTTATAGTCTTGTTCTACATAGCCTATCTATATTATCAGGTATGTAAATTTCATATTCAAGGATTGTTCAGGTAAATCTATTAGTAACTCTTTAGTAGTAGTATTGGGCCCCTGAAATGTGTAGTTAATAAATGGGTTGTAATTGAAAATGTGTGGTGGTAATTAATGTTTGACTTTGACTTTGACTTTGACTTGATAGAAAAATTAACTTTTTAGCAAATTCCAATTTTACACAAAGAGAGGCTTGCTTTGTTTCTGCAACTCTTTCGTTTAAAATCACAATTTCTCTCAAGTCTTCGAAATTTTTTACCGAATAAAAGTTTCTAACAAAATAGCCTCCAAAGTGGCTCACAACGATTAATTTAATTTGAAGTCGGAAAATGTTCTTCAAGCTTAGAAGAGAAACAGGAGCTTACATATTGACTACTGGATATGTTATATCATTAGGTGAACTACTTAACTTGTCCAAATGTAAGGCATGCAAATCCTTTTTTTCTGTGAGATGATGTGCATTGTGATATAAATTGGACGTTCAAATTTCTTTGATGTTCTAGAACAAATCAGAATATCAGACATCATTTGCACTCTTTCTAACTTGATGAAATATATTAAATTATCAGATGTTTGTCTCACACTCTTGACCAAATAAGTGTGTCCTACATGTGTACTTCGTGCATTGTAGAAGAGTAAAATCAGCATAGCCTGTAGCCTTTTTTGCATTATGATATGGTGTATCTACATTCATATTAGAGTTGTACTGCAAATTATATATCTTTTGCAGAGCACGGCCCGTGAAGTAAAGCGCCTGGATTCCATTACTAGATCTCCTGTGTATGCACAATTTGGGGAAGCATTGAATGGCTTGTCAACTATTCGTGCATACAAAGCATATGATCGAATGGCAAACATTAATGGAAAATCCATGGACAACAATGTTAGATTTACTCTTGTAAACATGAGTGGAAACCGCTGGCTTGCTATTCGTCTGGAGACAGTGGGAGGCCTTATGATTTGGCTTACTGCAACATTTGCTGTCATGCAGAACGGAAGGGCAGAAAACCAAGAGGCATTTGCCTCTACAATGGGTTTACTTCTTTCTTATGCATTGAATATTACCAGCCTATTGACTGCTGTACTAAGACTTGCGAGCATAGCAGAAAATAGTCTAAATGCCGTGGAGCGCGTTGGTACATATATAGAATTGCCTTCAGAAGCTCCAGCCGTTATAGAGGACAGTCGTCCTCCTCCTGGGTGGCCTTCAGCAGGGTCTATTCAATTTGATGACGTTGTCTTGCGCTATAGACCTGAACTGCCGCCCGTGCTGCATGGCATATCCTTCACAATTTCTCCTAGCGACAAGGTAGGAATAGTTGGTAGGACTGGAGCAGGGAAATCTAGCATGCTGAATGCTTTATTCCGAATTGTTGAACTGGAAAAGGGAAGAATCTTAATTGATGATTGTGACATTGGAAAGTTTGGATTAACTGATGTTCGAAAGGTTCTTGGCATCATTCCACAATCACCAGTTCTCTTCTCAGGTATTGGATCTGCTGATTTAAGTGGTATTACATTATGTAAGCTAGGGAACCTTCTGTCATGTGTGAACTGATTTGGTGCAGTCTTCTTTCTTTATGTTGATACAGATATTTTGCTGATGCAATTGTAGAATTATCTCATTGCTCAAAACATAGTTTAGCTTCTATGTAGACTTTATTTTTCTGCCCTGTCGCTAATTGATAGCCTGCCTGGGGAGATTTTGCAGTTCTAATTGCCTTCACATGTATATTGAGAGGTTAAAACATGAATTAGGAGGCTGTATTGCATCATATGGCAGCCGTGAGGATTATTGTCACTATGATATCTAGCGATGTCAAGTGCAGTTTTGTAAATTTTTTAATAATGGTGAAATTTAGTATATCGAATCAATAACAGCTCAAGTTAGTGCAACCTTTTCTTCTTCTTTCTTTCTTTCTTTTTTTAACTCTCTAAAGGATTCCAAGGTGGAAAATTTTGGAAGTTAGCAGTTTCTGAAAAGAATGCATGGTTGGTCTATTAAGTAGCTGACTGGCTACATTCAATTGGCGTTTAATCATGATAAGCAATCTGAGTAAACTCCATGCCAAATTAGACCTGTGCAATAAATTTTTAAAATGTACCTCTCTCAAAAAGTAGGCATTATATATAATTGACCTTTTTAGGGTACTGAGTACTGACAATTATGGTGCATTTATGTATCTATGGTGATTTTATGTTTCATTTTTGCCAGGCACGGTGAGGTTTAATCTTGATCCTTTCAATGAACACAATGATGCTGACCTGTGGGAGGCTTTAGAGAGGGCACATCTAAAGGATGCCATCAGGAGGAATTCTTTGGGTTTGGATGCACAGGTACAGAAATCATGCTTTGTTCAATGATATTTTGTTTCGCCCCCATTATAATGAGAATTTGGGAAAAATGTATTTTGCAATAGTAATTTTTTGAAGAATGTGTGGTTAAAAAAGAAAAAAAAAAGCTTTGGGTATGCACACTCACTATATCTATATACGTAAACGTTTCAGTTGATAGCCTTTCAAAAAAGCCCTTTCTCTCTATTACATGTCATATTATTTTATTGGAAAATGTATGGTTGACAAGAAGAGAAAAAAATGAATTATAACTTTAATGGAGCGAAACAGGGATTTAGTATTTCACTTACACTTTGTTAACCTCTAACATGGAGAACGAATGCTCTTTTCTACAACCGGAATCGAATTTGTTATACATACGGTGTTCGTCTAGTTTGCAACAATATTATTGGGAAAGACTAATCATTTGATCATTTGCTTGCTAATGAATGCAAGTAATTGAAATATGTGCTCCACATTGCTATGTTGGAATAACTTGACAGTGAAGTTTGCATGTGATTTTCAGTTCTCTCTTTTGAACTTAACTCAAATTTCTGCCTTATCAAGGTCTCAGAAGCTGGGGAGAACTTCAGTGTTGGACAGAGACAGTTGTTAAGTCTTGCTCGAGCATTGCTTCGCAGATCAAAAATTCTTGTCCTCGATGAAGCGACTGCTGCTGTTGATGTTAGAACCGATGCTCTTATTCAGAAGACTATAAGAGAAGAGTTCAAATCGTGCACAATGCTCATTATTGCTCACCGTTTAAATACGATTATCGACTGCGACAGGATTCTTCTGCTTGATGCTGGTCAGGTACATGGAGGCATTAGAGGCTAATTCTAATGTGTGTGAGACACTGAATGAAAAAAGATGAGGAAAAAAATGAACTGACAACCGGGATTCTTAAAAGATTTGTGTTTGATTAGTATGTAGGGATCTGGATCTGCGTAAAATAATTTTTGTCCCTCTTTCTCAGGTCGTGGAATATGATACTCCTGAAATGCTGCTGCAAAATGTAGAAAGTGCATTCTCTAAGATGGTTCAGAGCACGGGGGCTGCAAATGCTGAGTACTTACGCAGCTTAGTACTTAGAGGGGAAGGTGATAGCAAATTAGAAAGAGGAAAACAAGTGGATGGGCAAAGAAAATGGCTCGCCTCGTCCAGATGGGCTGCTGCTGCACAATTTGCACTTGCTGTTAGCCTCACTTCATCACAGAATGACCTGTTGCAGTTGGAAATTAAAGATGGGGATAGTATCCTTAGGAAAACAAAGGATGCTGTAATAACACTTCAGGGGGTTTTGGAGGGGAAGCATGACAAAGTGATTGAAGAAAATCTTGATCAGTACCAGGTCCCCCGGGATAGATGGTGGTCAGCTCTATACAGAATGATTGAAGGTACTATTTTATTCTTCTCGTTATGACATATGCCGTGACTTACAATGGGGAAAGTTTATCGTATTTTCTGTTTCCATTATAAGTATACATTTCCATTTCCAGGTCTTGCGGTCATGAGTAGGCTGGCACGGAACAGGCTTCATCATGAGGACAACTTTGCAGATCGATCAATTAATTGGGATGACGTCGAAATGTAGGGGTAACTACGACACATTTTGACTTAATGGACTTGCAGTCTAACAGGGAGTTGTAACTTAAATAAAGGCACCACCCTGATTTAGAAGACAGTTAATGCTGTCTATTTTGCGGGCCACCAAACTTGGCGAGCCTGCTTCTGTTAAATTGGGCACAGGATTTTGAACTCCATGACCATTTCTGTGTGTAGGCTGGATAGCTATCTAAAAAGTTTTGACACATTAAATAGCTCGAAAGCATGCTTGGACGTATACTTTTTAACTAACTATTTATTTTTAAACACATTAGATAATTAATTTTTATTTTATTTTTTTAACTTTTAGTTATAAAGGTTACTTTCTAAAACTAAAACATGAATTAGGAGGCTGTATTGCATCATATGGCAGCCGTGAGGATTATTGTCACTATGATATCTAGCGATGTCAAGTGCAGTTTTGTAAATTTTTTAATAATGGTGAAATTTAGTATATCGAATCAATAACAGCTCAAGTTAGTGCAACCTTTTCTTCTTCTTTCTTTCTTTCTTTTTTTAACTCTCTAAAGGATTCCAAGGTGGAAAATTTTGGAAGTTAGCAGTTTCTGAAAAGAATGCATGGTTGGTCTATTAAGTAGCTGACTGGCTACATTCAATTGGCGTTTAATCATGATAAGCAATCTGAGTAAACTCCATGCCAAATTAGACCTGTGCAATAAATTTTTAAAATGTACCTCTCTCAAAAAGTAGGCATTATATATAATTGACCTTTTTAGGGTACTGAGTACTGACAATTATGGTGCATTTATGTATCTATGGTGATTTTATGTTTCATTTTTGCCAGGCACGGTGAGGTTTAATCTTGATCCTTTCAATGAACACAATGATGCTGACCTGTGGGAGGCTTTAGAGAGGGCACATCTAAAGGATGCCATCAGGAGGAATTCTTTGGGTTTGGATGCACAGGTACAGAAATCATGCTTTGTTCAATGATATTTTGTTTCGCCCCCATTATAATGAGAATTTGGGAAAAATGTATTTTGCAATAGTAATTTTTTGAAGAATGTGTGGTTAAAAAAGAAAAAAAAAAGCTTTGGGTATGCACACTCACTATATCTATATACGTAAACGTTTCAGTTGATAGCCTTTCAAAAAAGCCCTTTCTCTCTATTACATGTCATATTATTTTATTGGAAAATGTATGGTTGACAAGAAGAGAAAAAAATGAATTATAACTTTAATGGAGCGAAACAGGGATTTAGTATTTCACTTACACTTTGTTAACCTCTAACATGGAGAACGAATGCTCTTTTCTACAACCGGAATCGAATTTGTTATACATACGGTGTTCGTCTAGTTTGCAACAATATTATTGGGAAAGACTAATCATTTGATCATTTGCTTGCTAATGAATGCAAGTAATTGAAATATGTGCTCCACATTGCTATGTTGGAATAACTTGACAGTGAAGTTTGCATGTGATTTTCAGTTCTCTCTTTTGAACTTAACTCAAATTTCTGCCTTATCAAGGTCTCAGAAGCTGGGGAGAACTTCAGTGTTGGACAGAGACAGTTGTTAAGTCTTGCTCGAGCATTGCTTCGCAGATCAAAAATTCTTGTCCTCGATGAAGCGACTGCTGCTGTTGATGTTAGAACCGATGCTCTTATTCAGAAGACTATAAGAGAAGAGTTCAAATCGTGCACAATGCTCATTATTGCTCACCGTTTAAATACGATTATCGACTGCGACAGGATTCTTCTGCTTGATGCTGGTCAGGTACATGGAGGCATTAGAGGCTAATTCTAATGTGTGTGAGACACCGAATGAAAAAAGATGAGGAAAAAAATGAACTGACAACCGGGATTCTTAAAAGATTTGTGTTTGATTAGTATGTAGGGATCTGGATCTGCGTAAAATAATTTTTGTCCCTCTTTCTCAGGTCGTGGAATATGATACTCCTGAAATGCTGCTGCAAAATGTAGAAAGTGCATTCTCTAAGATGGTTCAGAGCACGGGGGCTGCAAATGCTGAGTACTTACGCAGCTTAGTACTTAGAGGGGAAGGTGATAGCAAATTAGAAAGAGGAAAACAAGTGGATGGGCAAAGAAAATGGCTCGCCTCGTCCAGATGGGCTGCTGCTGCACAATTTGCACTTGCTGTTAGCCTCACTTCATCACAGAATGACCTGTTGCAGTTGGAAATTAAAGATGGGGATAGTATCCTTAGGAAAACAAAGGATGCTGTAATAACACTTCAGGGGGTTTTGGAGGGGAAGCATGACAAAGTGATTGAAGAAAATCTTGATCAGTACCAGGTCCCCCGGGATAGATGGTGGTCAGCTCTATACAGAATGATTGAAGGTACTATTTTATTCTTCTCGTTATGACATATGCCGTGACTTACAATGGGGAAAGTTTATCGTATTTTCTGTTTCCATTATAAGTATACATTTCCATTTCCAGGTCTTGCGGTCATGAGTAGGCTGGCACGGAACAGGCTTCATCATGAGGACAACTTTGCAGATCGATCAATTAATTGGGATGACGTCGAAATGTAGGGGTAACTACGACACATTTTGACTTAATGGACTTGCAGTCTAACAGGGAGTTGTAACTTAAATAAAGGCACCACCCTGATTTAGAAGACAGTTAATGCTGTCTATTTTGCAGGCCACCAAACTTGGCGAGCCTGCTTCTGTTAAATTGGGCACGGGATTTTGAACTCCATGACTGTTTCCGTATGTAGGCTGGATAGCTATCTAAAAAGTTTTTACACATTAAATAGCTTGAAAGCATGCTTGGACGTATACTTTTTAACTATTTATTTTTAAACACATTAAATAATTAATTTTTATTTTATTTTTTTAACTTTTAGTTATAAAGGTTACTTTCTAAAACCGTGTTACTTTCTTTTTTGGATAAATTTATTTGCTTTTAACATAAGCTTATAACTTCATTAATAAAATATTATTCATATTAAACTTTTTTAGTAGACTGCAAACTGAGATTCGTGAGCGCTTGTTATACTTCGAGTGGCGTCCCTTCATAGTCCGAGCTTACTGGAATCGAATATCGGCCGTCAAATTTAATAGACATGATAATAAGTGACAAACACGCAAGCATTGCCGGCTTTGTAACTTTCTGCACGCTCGTTCGTTCTCATTGGATAACTCGCAATCAATGATTCCCTGGAAGTCTGGAACCACTGATTTCTTGTTACTTCCAAATTCAAACAATGATCAATATGTTTTTAGGATATTTCTCCTTGCACAGACCCTGTGCACAGGGTGTGTCCACCCCCATGTCTCACACCCTGTGCACAGTGTCCTGTGCAAATAGCACAGCCCATGTTTTTATATATGATGCTGGGTCGCACTAGGCGTACAAGGTGAGTAATACAGGTGTCTTACAGGGAATAAAAAAATCAGGAAAATATATCTTGCACTCTCTCTTTCTTTCGTCCTTCTCCCCAAGACCCAACAATCCCCAATTTCAAAACCTAACTCTCCAAAATCCTCTCTTCACTTGAGAACCCCAATCGCCCCAACCGAACACCGGTATGTTGAGCTCCAGCTCCGGCAGCCCTCGGACAACTGTCGTCATGAGGTTGTGTTTCCTCAAATGAGTGCGTCTCCGAGTGCATCTTTGAAGCGATGTTGCAAATCGTTGATTAAGCCACGTTTGCCACCATCGTAGTTCATAAAGGTAGAGGTAAATCCGGACTCCTTCGTCACAGCCTGTAGGCATTTGCAATCCCCAAACACTTACCCATTCCTTGAAAAGCATCGAACAGGCCGACACTTCCCTCAAATTCCTCTGTCGCTAAATGAGCTTGGTGACCCAAACAATACAACCACGATCATCTAATCCCAGTCAGGTAGTAGTTTAACTCCATGTTCATGTTCTGATTTCCGTGGTTCTTCTGGAAAATGAAATATGTCGTTGTGCGGCCCTGCATCTACTTGTTTATGACACTGCGATCCGGTTGGCCCAAATCCTATTTCACAGTAGTTTATGCTTGGTAATTTATACGTTATTTATGTAATTAACATTCCCCATTTCACAGTAGTTAGTTTGTGAACATGAAAACCGATTGATTGTATGTGGTTGATTTGCATACTAGAATGGCAGGGAAAAATTCAGGTGTATGCCATAGTTGCAGGGGACACTTCTTTGTTGAATGTCCGATCAAAGTGCGATGTCCGTTGTGTAAGCATGGATATCAGAAATGCTTTGAAGTGGAGAAGGAGACTTGTAATAAAGGTAAATTATTCAAGTGTTGCAGTGAAAAATGTGGATTTTGGGATTAGTATGAAGAAGGTCAAGCACGAGGTGAATATAGTAGCATTAGTGCTACCTCAACTAACCTTACGGTGATGGAAGCAGTTGAAGATATGACCCCGCACGTTCCAATCTCTAGTGAGGCTAAATGATGAGGAAGAGCTCCATATTTCGGTGAATGTGACAATCCGTAAGGAAAAATCTGGTGTGACTGGGAATGCAAAAGGGAAAGGGCCTGCTTGATTGGTGTTGAGTTTTGTTTGTCTACTACGAAGAAACACTAGTTTGGAACTTTATATTTGCTATGTGATAGTAGCTCACAACTATGTATCATGTTTTGCGGTTTGTAACATTTGTGAAGTAATGAACTTGAATGTTAAGTTCTTCAATGAGTTGAAGTTGCACAAGTAGTTCTTTGTTTTAAACCAACACTCCTGGTTTTGCTGAGTATTCTCTTCCATTCAAAGCAGAAATTGGTAATTGGTTTTGGTATTTGTTAACCGCTGTCTTGAGGTTAAAATAAAGCAGTGTTCTGCCTCTCTTTCACATGTACGATGGAGGTTAAAACCACATTGATAATGCTAGAATGTAAACTTGCCAAGTGATGACCTGATCACAAGTCAGATTTTTTTACATTTTGGCATTGCTAGAATGTCTACAGATTTTTTACATTTTGTACAAATTTCTAGGACTGATGTTCTATAATCAAACAACTTTACTTTACTTACGGCCAATATCACGATTACTTTACTTACAGCCAACAGAAAAGATGAGCAAATATATATGTATGTATGATTATATTTTAATAGACAATGCTAAAAATAACATCATGTTTCAAGTTTTTGTAGATAAACTAAGAGTACAATTCAATGCTACAAAAATCATCAGTTCGAACTATTTCTGATGTCAATACCTTTAGATTTTACAAAATTGCACTACCAAGCTTAGCAACATTTCCCTGTTTACCACAAAAGTCTTCCAAAAACAGAACAAAGAAAAAACAGTCTAAGATTTACTAGCAACACTCTTCTTGAAATTGTACTCAAGTTACAAATCCAACTTTCCATCAGGTATCTGCTTCAGGCAACAAGTGTGCTCGCAGTGGTAGATCAACTGCAAAGGGTAAACAACTAAATGAGTGCTTGCAGGAAAAATAAAAACACAGAACCGTTAATTGTATTCTGAATGAAAAGGACAACTGTGTGCATTCTATGAAAATGGCTAAAACTCAAAAGCAACCTAGGGAAAAAAATGTTTAGGTGATCAATGAACATCAAAATGGCGCAGAGTCTCAGTTCATTTTAAATAACTAGATCAAAATAAAAGCATCAAGAAACACAATTAAATTAGTGAGTCCAAAACACAGTATGCTAAACTGAAAAATTGGAAATGTTATTGCTTGTTCGTCTTTATGCTCTTCTTTAAATTCCAATGGCCAGATGATATATAGCTCCGAGTGGAAGAAATGTTACTGCTTGGAAAGTGCTGGAGACAAATTTGACTAGCTTCAACAACGAACTGGGCAAGCAGTTTTAAACAAAAATGGCATCCACAAACTTCATGCTTTCATGGCGAAGAAAGGGCAAGCCGGATTGAACAAAAAATGGGATCCACTAAAAAATGGCCTGTCACAAATTGGCAAACTTTTCTATATTTCTTGTGAAATTAACAAATTTCTTTATGGCAATTCAAAGGTCGAAACTTAACCTTTTCACGAGCCCCTGCCACCATCTTCTGGTAAAGTTGGTTAGTAGTACGGCATTCCATTATCTTCCATATATAACGAACATTAATACAACACAACGAAACAAAAAAAGATAACGAATTGTAATGATTTCGACAATTATTTACCTCATGAATTAGTGCTACTATCATGCGGCAATGGAGACATAAAGTTGGAAGGCGGGTATTGTTGGATGAACATACGATTTTCGGCATCACCCTACATATAATCATAACACAAATATAACATAAACATCCATCATAACGGAGAATTGAAAATACTAACTAACAACATTTGTGAATATGAGAATGTGGGCGGTGCGGAATAGCTAAGTTGTGATGGTTCTTCAACTTGGGGTGGTACCACCGGCATGTTAGTATGCGTCACCCTCAATGCATTTCCCTTGGTTGAAGTCGAACTTCCCTACATTTATATCAAACATACATGAGAATTTGAAATTGGACTCCATTTCAATGGCAAGGTTGACAAACAAAAGTACCTTTGTTTTGTTCGACCTCGACTCCAATGGGCCTTTCACACGAAGCTTTTTTGGTGCACCTTTTCTCTTTACCAATATAGGATCCCTTGCACTATCACAATCAATGGGCTGAGAATCCGTGCACTGAGAGGATAAGTTAAAAGCAGTCAACGACCCAACATTACTTTCGCTACTCAACTTGCTAAGCGCCAGCTCTTTATATTGACATTTTATCCAGTCCATTATTGCACGTGACCGCCCTTCATCACCTGCAGTGAGATCTGCCACCTGCGAAAAAGCTTGACACATTTCGTCGTATCTCAACTATGCCGGAGTACTAACCAAGCCATCGTAGTTTACTGCCACTCTTGTGTGTGGTCTACTAACATCTCTCCTCCACCTTCGTAGTTTATACCTCTCGGGTATTGATCTCACGTCATTACGGATTAAGACTGCGATTGCATGCCTGCATAATATCTCTCGAAACTCAAACAAATGGCAGTTGCAAACTATTTCACAACTATCCCTCCGAAAAGAGACGAAGAACTTTTTTTTCTTCCTTTGGTGGTCATACAACACGTCCTCCAGAACTTCGTACCTTATCCCTGAGCTCCCCTCCGAAGCCACTATGAGATCGCAATATACCTTCCCTGTGAACTCATCTTGCACTTCTCAAAACTTCGAAATTGTGTACACCAACTGAAATTGTTTTTCCATTTCATAATTTGTTGCACATGGTACCATTTGTGAGTATGACTTGAAATCTGCATAGTACTCCTTCTCAACCTTGCTTCTCAGTGCTCGTTCATATTGTTCACCAAACTGCTTAAGCGAGGTCTTCGAATGTATATATCCATTGAAGAAGGCATTCATACTCTCACTTCGCTGAGTCGTGGACATACTAGCCCAGAAAGTGGTTTTCAAAAAACATGGAACCCAACGACTTCTGTTATTATAAAGTCCAGCCAACCAATCATTTTCATGCAACTCATATAAGTCAACCATCAACGCCCAACCTTCTTCAAATTCTTCATCAGTCTGCGAATCATACACCAATCTATGTGTAGCCGAAAATATGTTTCCCTTATCAACATGATACCCGAACTTCTCCGACAATTTCTTCAAAATGTGCGATAAACACCATCTATGCTTGGTGGTCGGAAAAACAATTTTAATTGCGTTTTGCATAGCCCTGTCTTGGTTTGTAATAATTCCATGGGGGGTTTGACCCTGCATGCACTCAAGTCATGTACTGAATAGCCAAACAAATGTATTTGTTTCCTCGTTTGATAACAGACCACAACCCAGCGTGTTGATTGACCGTG